ATATATATATAATATTTTTTGTGGGATATATGTTTTTAGGATTCTTTGATGAACAGAAAGCTCAAAATAACACAATTTATTTGAAATAGAAAATACAAATGTATTCGTCACTTTTAATCAATTTAATGCATCCTTGCTGTATAAACGTATTTATTTCTTTAAAAAAACACTAAGCCCAAACTTTTTAAGCAGTAGTGTATATACTTCTAAAATAAAAAGAATAGTATCTTAGTGGTACATAGCTGATGGGATAGTGCTTACCTTCTCCTGCGCTGCACATACAGACGGATGAGCCACTGCACCACAAACGGCCAGATGACAGCAAAGGCCACAGTTCCTGGAGACACATCGAAAGGCCACCAGGATGGCTTCTGGAAAGTGTAAATAATGAAAATAATATGTCAGCACTCAGTGTATGGCAATGACATTGTTAAAATTAATAAAAATAAACAAAACAAAAATACAAAATAAAATTTACACACTTTTATCCAAAGAGACTTACACTGCCTTCAAGGTATATATTTTATCAGTTCATGCATTCACTGGGAATCGAACCCTGTTTGAGCTACCGGTATGCTCTCCTTTTAATTCCCGAAACTCTTTAAAACATCTCATCAATCAGTTTATTAAAATGACTTTACCTTCTTCGTTTTATTTGCAGGTGGTGACAAGTAGTCTGATGGCAGCGCTAAGGATCGGGCCTGAGAAGTTGCACATGACAAAGCAAAAATGTAATATTTCATATTTAAACAGTGTTATATGTTGTGCTGTGTGAAAAGTGACGGTTTGTAACCTGCGAGGCTGTGAGAGCTTCCAGCGTGTGTAGCCTCTCTAAGACACTCTGCATGTCGTCCTGCAGTCTGGCCAGAGCACAGATTATCTGTTCGTTTAGATTGTCCGTTACAGATCCATCCGTCCCCCAGCGCTCCCCGTCTCCCCCACTGCCCTGCTGCGGTCCCGCTGACCCGGAGCCAAAGGCAGGTGACTTGGACCCTGATACACAGGAAAAGCAGCTGCAGTATGTGCAAACAGCTCAAACATTCTGTAGATCATTAACAGATTAAAGAAACAAAGTTTCCAAAAAAACAAATTTACTTGAGGATTCCAGCTATAGAGCATTTTAAGTTAACATATGTGCAGTCACAATGCATAGGTCATATTTTGTCAATAAATTTTATTGTAAATATATTTCATCCAAAACGGACTATTTTACCCAATATTTGTATGTGCACCATGTATTGTTATGCTTGTTAGAGTACTGAGTTGTTAACGAAGCAACGTGCTAACATCAAATTCTACTGGAATCAACTGAGTCAAATCTTGTGTGCTTTACAGGAGTGCCAACTGCACAGAGTTATGTATGTTTTTTTTTTTTATTTGGTCAGATTTGATGAGAACACTTAGCGTATGCGTACAGTCGAACTCATAGTCGTTTCAATAGTAGAATCCAGTTAGAATGCATTAGAAATTCAATATATTATATTTATATCATATGATAGAGTTAAGCAATATCATGAGTGAGAGAGCTATTTTGTTGCCGAATGTTAGCATGGTTACAAATGTGATTGATTATACACAACAGTTCAATAAACAAGAATTTTAGGGTGCTTTCACACCTGGCCTGTTGTTTCGGAACCTGGCGCATTTCCCCCCTTAGCTCGGTTCGTTTGATCATATGTGAATACGGCAATCGCGCTCAGATCCGCGCCAAAACAATCGGTCCGAGATCGCCTGAACGAGGTGGTCTCGGCTCGATTGAAAACGAACTCTGGTGCGGTTCGGTTGTAGTGAGAAAGCAATCCGATCCAACGGACCAACG